CAATGATTGGCTTCTGCATTTTGCATGCTTGCTGAGCTTTGCAGAAAATAGGGTATAAAAGGCCCACTCACCTTCCATTATGGGCCAATTACTTCTTACAGTAACGGCCCCCTGCAAGTGTAATAAAATCTCTACTTAATTATTGCATCAAGTGGGGTCTGAGTCTCTCAGCTGTGTAAGCCACAATAGTGGTTTCATCACTGAACAGTAATGCTTTAGTAAAAATCTTCTACTCTGGCAAGAGTTAAGGAAATTCTGTGTTTGACTCTGTGAGTAGAAAATTAAATGGTATTCTCTGAACATGTTAATTGAGGTTTTGGAATTATGTATTTTTACTTTTTTTTATTTTCCAAGAAAGCATTGGGTAGAAAAAAGTACGTTTTGGCCCTATAGGCTGTGCAAATAGCTTTTTTGGTCAGCTCAGTTTGAAAAGACATAGTAAATAAGATGTGTCTGTCTTTGAGGTACTATATGATTGACTTAGCTATAACATAATGATTCACAAAATAATTTCAAATCAATGTATATAAGGCACATTATAAAGAAATTAATTTTAAGCAAAAAAAAAGATTAAAAAGTGTTGTTACCATTTGCTGTTTGGGTAACAGATTGACTTTCATCTGTATTTGTAGCATTTGTTATTCCATAGCACAAACTTGTGAAAGCCATATCTCATAAATTTGTCAAAGGGGCTATGTATACTAATGCTTCCTTTTTCAGAGGGTGCGAAAAGTTTTGGTATTAAGTGAATCTCTACTGAGGTAGTCCTGAGGTTTGCCAGGAGGAAGCTCTTCCCAGATGGAGAAATTTACCTGGATGTTGAGTTCTTCTGGCCATTTCTCCTCATCCTCCAGACACTAGAGAAACACCTACCAGGTGGAAGTGTTTATGGAGTACCTTCATTGGAAGGCTATTGTTTTCTGGAGAAATGGTAACCTGAGTATTTCCTTTGGACAATAATTCTCTCCCCAACAATGGAACAATGAAATCAGGCATCTAAAGGAACTGATGAGTCAACTCTTCTCCTCCAATCTAGCATGTAAGAGGTTGAAGAAAGAATTTGTGTTCCAGTGTTCCTGTCACTCCTGCTACAGAACCAGATTGTTTAGTCAGAGAGGAGAGTGAAGTATTAAGAAATGAATATTTCCCAGGATTTATTAGAAAGCCTTGGCCGGCAGATTTCCATAGGTAAGGAGAGGGTATACTACCCTTTGGGCTAGGCATCCCTAGAGCCATTGTACCAAATAGTTGGCTGTCCCTAAAGGGATCATAGTCATGGATCAAGTGTTACCTGTGGACAATGTTGTGCCCATCTCAGGTTGCCAGAGTGGGCTGCTCCCAGAGTCTCAAGGTCAGATTCCAGTGGCAGGTGGCATCCCTTAACAAGCATGCACCCACTTTCTACCTTCAATTCCTGAGTTTCAGACTTACCTGTGCCTGGAGGAGTCAGTCTTTTTAGCCTTTGTGTCACCAAGTCCTCTTGCTAACATGACCTCCTGTCTGCCCTGAGTTTTACTACTGACCATTAACTCACCCTCAGAGGAATCTGAGATGTCTTCCTGGATCTTTACAGGTGACTGTGAGGAGGTTTAACACAGACCATCAGCCTCCACTTGAGTGGGGGAAAACTAGAACTTTCTTTAAGCCAAGAGCAGAGGAAGATCACAGGTTTATTAAAAAGCCACCAGCAGCAGGGGAAAATCAATTTGAAACATCTTATTCGATTGAGAAAGTCACAACTCAAAAAAGGCAAGGAGAGCAGGTAGTCCCCAGTTTGTATAACCAGAAATGGTCCAGTTTCACCATATCTTACGAAAGAAAAAATGTGTTGTTTAAGGGTGGCAGCAGTTCCACATACATAGTCTGTCATCTTAGCAACAAAAAGCCAAGAGGTATGAGGAGAGAATTAAAGACACAGAGGAAGGAGTGACAATGTCAGGCAGTAAGAAAAAGAGGCTAGTGTTTTGAATGATAAAGTTCACTCCTGTTTTTCTTTGCTTCAGTTTCAAAGGAGTAACTCATAACCTTGAGTACTGATCTCAACACCCATAACTAAGGAGATACAGCTTCAGGCAGGCAGAAGAAAATACAGAGCAGCAGATTTAACACTATTATGGCAGATTATTGCTGAATAATTGATGTTTGTCACTTTCAGCAAATAAACAGCAATCTGATGAGACTTTAAACTAAGTCTCAGGCCGTGCCTGTGGCTCAAAGGAGTAGGGCGCTGGCTCCATATACCAGA